CCAAATACTCTATCCCTGTAACCCTGTATCCTGCCTTGGTTTTAGAAGCATCAGTATACCACGCTATGGTATGGTCTTTTACATGCTGAGCAAACGTTTTTCTCTTCCAATCCTTTTTATTGCTCAATGCTACAGTGAATTGTTTCTTAAAGTTGTAAATTCTTGGTATGTCATCCACTGGGAGTTGAAGGAATGGAATTTTCTTTTTGAGGGTGTTAATCAAGGCCCCTGACCTGAAAATTCTCCCAGTTTTGAATCCGTCAATGGCCATTCTAATCATTGTCGTATTGACATAGCTACCGACGACAATGTGCAGTGGTGTTAGATCTAGGCAGAGACAGGCGAAAAGGTTCATTGTAGAACATTCGCCAAAATTCACGGTAGACTTGATAAGCAAGGACAGATAGACATTCAAAGCTGTAGTAGGTCTACTAACAGGGCATTGTAAGCTAAACAGGCATCTAAAGCTGATGGGATTGACAGACGAAGCTATGTGTAGGTTCTGCCAATCTGAAGAAGAAACGTCAGAACACATTTTATGTCGGTGTGACAGCCTGGCAAATGTGCGGTTCCCGGTAATAGGCAATGATAGGCCATTGCCAAGGAGCTACATGGAGGGTTCAGTCTCCAAGTTGCTAAACTTTGTGAAAAGGATAGGACTGGAGAATGTAATCTAAGGATCAGAAGAGGACCACAATAGATCTAAGAAGGTCGCAGTGGATCAGGCCGAAAGCCACCTCTAAGAATCTAATCTAATCTAGATCTAGGATGACCTCTATTGCTGCTGTTGGGTATGTTTTCATAGCACCTGTGATGCAGATGCATGCCAGTCTCTGTACTTTACACAGGTTTTGCCATGCTGTACGTTGCTCTAGTTTTGTGTACCAAGCAACTGCTCCCTCATGGGTCACTATCATGATATACATCCAGCGCAAAATGTTCGAGGCGCAGCCCCATCTATTTCCCGCCAGTCTTCTGCACATCATGAGAGCCTTGTAGCTTTGCTGATAATGTTCTTAATATGCCTGTTCCAGAGAAGTTTACTGTCCAGAGTTATTACCAGATATTTGACTTCCTGTGATGGCAGTATTTCTTTTCCATCTAGATGGATTCTTTTCAAGTTTTTTCAGACTTCGTTTTCTGGCGAATGGCACTACCGCGGTTTTGTCTGTGTTGATGCTCAGTCTGTACTAACATAACTGATCTCGTTTTTTTATCTGAAAAAATAAAAAAAGTTATAGGGGTGAGCCACTTTTCAGCGGCACCCGGTATATTTAATAACAACCGCCGTACTTGAAAAATTTACCTCGTATTTATTTTAAGAAATATGTGAAACCGTCTAACGGCGGTTTTTCGTTAATTGTCCATACCGACGGTAATATAGCCAGAGTTTATTTTTTAAATGCAAATTTCTGCACATAATAGATAATTTAGGTTTTATAAATTCATATTTTCGTAAGTTCTTATAGAAAAGCTAAAATAATAATTATTATACAAGAAACAATCGAAAACGATAAGTATTTGCAATTATTCTGAACGAGGTTAGCCATTTGTGATCCAAAATACGAAAATAATCTACATGATCTTGTCCCACTTCGAGATTGTTTGCCTTTACGAGAAATATATTGGCATTAATTCCTAACCAGCAATTTCACGACTGGTAAGCGGTGATCTTGAAAAGATCCATCTATCTCTCTCTTTTGCAACAGTATAATAGGATATTTTGCAGGGAAAATGAATTACTATGTTTTACATGTCGCTAAGGCTCAATACATCTAGCGTGTTTTTGCATTATTAATAATTTAATTAGTAATAATGCTGTTTAATAATGTATAAAATAATATTTATAATGTGACAAAAATTATAGAAAATTTTAGAAATATTTTATTTACTGTAAAATATAGAAAATATAAAATAATTGACTAAGTAAGAAATAAAAAGTTACGGGTTTTTGAAGAAAATTATTACTTATTTCCAATTATTAAAAGAAATATTTCAATAAATTTCAATTGACAATACTGAACTAATGATGAATTTGTACCTGGGTACCAATATCCTCCAGTTGTGTGCTAAGGAAGTAAATTTTCATGCATATTGTTATCGATAGGTTTATATAGTTATATAGTTTTATAACATTTACACTTATTTTTCGATTTATTATCTTATATATCTGTTATAGAAATATTTTTATAGTTTTCTAGGACACATTTTTATAACTTTTACAGTTATTTTTTTATTTATTATATAGTTTCAATAAAACAATTTTTTTGATTTAAATCATTTGATTTAAATCATGCCAACCCTGTTTAGTTCATTTGCTAACTCAGAATTGGAATTATTAGAGTTAAGCAACTCGCATTTTCATTGGAGGACATCGACATATTTATTTCAAACCAATAATCAACCAGAATATTCGTATAATTTAACAACATTACTGTAAACCACTATAAATATAAATACGAATTGTTGGTTAGGTTTAAAAATTTTCTCTTCTTAAATAAATTTAAGAGTTAACATTAATAGACCTTTGCATAAAAGTGTGTATTTTGGGTGGTATTCCACAAAATTTACAAGCTATTTAGGAAACAGAAAATGTACAGATTACAGATATAAATTGAAAATAACCTGTGAAAAAACGGCATCAAAGACGGCTTGGGAGTGACAATCGATGATAATTTTCGCAAATTCAATCTCTAGACCTATAGTAAAACCATTTTTACTCAATAAAAATAAATTCCAACCTTCTTAAGGCCAACTGGTAGTAAAAGCCTTTAAAATATGAAGAAGAGTATGGGCTCAGTAAATGACGTCTAGGGCTTAACCTCACCAAAAATTTTTTCGATGGTATATATATAGAAAAAATTTCGATGGTATACAGGGTTGTTCACCACATACAACATGGAGTATTGTAGCTAAACGATTAGATTTTTGCAAATTGTAAGTTTTGGGTTCGTTGAAGAGATTAGAGCTACAATTTAAAAATATTTTTACAAGACACAGAAGGTCCCAAATAAATAAAAAATATGAAAGTTGTATTTTTTTAAATAGAATACCCTGTATATTATTACATTTTTAGTTTCTACAATTAAAATAAAAGTAAATTTGATTAAGGTTTACTGTATTTTAATCTTACCGTTTTTGCAATATTTAGGTTTTTGTCAAAGTAATAATCAAAGTAATGTCAAAGTAATAATTTGAATGCTTCATTGAAATATTATTATTCTAGGCGTATTTAAGTTTTTAAAACCAAATATTGTACTGAAGTATTCCTATTTACAAAATTTTGTGTTGCAATAATAAAAATTATAGTACCTTTAACAGAGTATCTAAAAATTTATTTTAAATATTACTAGCTTTGAACGGCAATAACTTGTTTAATTTAAATTGAACACCCTGTATATTTTAGGAGAATCAGATGCACAATTTAATTGTCTGTCAAATTGTATTTTGCCATTTTTTACCTATCTCTTCAAGTTTTCGTAGAAAATGCATTTTCTTTTCATTTAGAACTCATTTATAAATATACCAATGGAATATTGACATTTTAAATTATTTTTAAAGATATAACAATTTTTAAAGAGTATATTGTCAATGTAGAATGTAACTAATATTGTCAATATAGTTCGTTTATTTCATTAAAAAAAACTGTTTAAATATTTGTTAAAGAGTAGAACCAATTAATATGATTTCAGTATTCAAACTACATGAATTGACTGTTTGCGTTGAATAATAATAATTGCTCCAAATATTAAAAAACTGAATTTTATATATGTATTAGACAGTGTGGTAAAAAGTAACACCTTAAATATTTTATTTCATTTTTTGACTAATGTGAACAGAGACGTTTATTTTTATAACTTACTAGGTTGAAGCCTGGCGCATCCGCCACGACATCAAGAAAAAAAGTACTTTTTATTTTTAATTAAATGAAAAACAAAAAATCAGGCGACAGTTATTAGAAGAGCCAATTAGCTATCTTTTAGTAACAAAAGCAATTTTCTAGAGCAAATCGTTACTTCAGTAGAGACGACACAGTATGTAGATTATTATATTGATTTCTGATTTAAATCCACATTTATTTAGAATAATTTATTAACTAACACAATAAAGAATGTAATTAATTAATATTTGGGCGGAAATAATGGTGGCATATTTAATTAATATTATATTCTTTTATAAAGATTTAAATAGTTTTCTTTTTGTGTACAAATGGGCCAGTAATGTTATCGTTTTTAGCACCTGTACATTTTGTACATTCGTTGGTTTAAAAACAATCTAAAACGTCAATATTCCATGGGTATATTGATAACTGAGGTCTAAATTATAAGAAAATGCATTTTTTACGAAAACTTGAAGGGGTAGGTAAAAAATGGTATAATTCAGTTTGATACACAATTAAATTGTGCATCTGGTTCTCTTAAAATATACAGGGTGTTCCATTTAAATTAAACAAGTTATTACCGTTTAAAGCTAGAAATTATTTAAAATAAATTTTTAGACACTCTGTATGAGGTAGTATTATTTTTATTATTACAACACAATAACTGATCAATAAATAAACTTCAGTAAATATTTAGTATTAAAAACTTTGATACCCTTGAAGAAATGAAGCCTTAAAATTTTTAATGCAATTTCACAAAATTAAAAATATTTCAAAAACGGTAAGATCTCGCGTAAGGTTTAAGTGTGATAAATCTCAATGAAATTTACCTTTATTTTAATCGTAGAAACTAAAAATGTAATAATATACAAGGTGTTCCATTTAAAAAAATATATCTTTGATATTTTTTATTTATTTGGGACACTCTGTATCTTGTAAAAATATTTAGCTCTAATAGTCCTAACCCAAAACTTACAATTTGTAAAAATGTAATCGTTTAGCTACAATAACTCCGTGTCCTATGTGATGAACAACCCTGTAGAATTTTAAACTTATATGTCAAAATATATCTCATTACCTACTTTGAACAAAAAGGACTCACTCCATTCCGTAAATTTAGTTCTGATTTCAGAGCCAAGCCCCGAATATCAACCGTGGCGGGCCGTCGCACCTACACGGAAGACGAACTGCAGGCCGCCCTCAGGGACATCCAATCAGGCAAACTGGGCACGAGAAGGGCGGCGGTCATTTACGGCATCCCCCGGTCCACCTTGAGGAACAAAGTGTACAAACTGGCCCTGGAACGGGAACGGGAGTCCCATCTGTCCACGACGCCGCTGAAACTGGACGAGGACGAGACGATGGACGACGACAAGGAATTGTCGGGTGCCGAAGAAGAAAAGGAGGTGGAAAAGGCCTTGCAGGTATAGTTATTTTTATTTTGTATGATATCTGGATCGACTTAATTGTTTGCACACTATACTTTCGAATAGTACAGGGTGGGCCAAATTGGACTCTTTTAAGGAAAAAAAAAATCTTTTCTTTACTCTTTATAATCTTCGCTTTAAGGAACATGTCTCTCAATGTACCTATCAAAAGATCTTACATCTCTTTAAAAATGTTATATCCGCATCGAAAGTTACTTTCGGAAATTTTAAAGATAAAGTTAGCTGAAGTACTTGTCTTATCCCATTTCAACTACTGTGATGTTATATATGGACCATGTCTGGAAAAAATTGACATTAACAGAATAGCTTCAAAAAAGCTGCCTACGTTTTATTTATGGTATAAGAAAATATGATCCCATTTCGCATAAGTTAAAAGAAGCTAAGTGGTTGAATATGGAAAACAGACGTAAGATGCATTTATTGGTTTTATTTCATGAAGTTATTTCTAAGAAGTGTCCTCCATATTTGGTGAATAAAATAAAATTCAGAACAGATGTGCACAACTTAAACCTTAGATTTAAGGGACTTATTACTCCACCACCTCACAAAACAGCATTGTTCACTAGATGTTTCTCATTTAATATTTCGAAGCTCTACATCTGTTTACCAGGAGAAATGATAAACCTTCAGAGTGCTGCATTTAAAAATAAACTTAAAAACATTTTCTGTATAGTTCTCTTTCCTTTTAGTTTTTTATTTACCTCAGAATTATTTTAGTATAAAATAATTTTCTTTGTGCTTATTTCTTTGAATTTCATACTAAATTTTCTTAGTCATAGGATTACTATATAATTTACTTATATTTGTAGATAAGTTACGGTAAAATAATTTAGCTACATAACACACATTTATACTAGCTGATATCGTGATCTGACAGGAACTGAATTTAAACCAATTTTAATTGTCTTCAGTTTCATTTTTGCATGTTTTTTTTTAATTATTATTATTTATTTGTAAATTACATTTGTTGTAAATGATATTCATGCAAAATAAAGTATTATTATTATTATTAAAGGGCAACACCCTTTTCTGCAGGGTTGGCAAAAAAACACCTTTTTTAATTTTGACCAGAGCACTTGGCAAAACTAGTTTTAACCGTTATAACCAGTGGTCAAAACCATTACGTATTTCAAATGAAAGTACGATTATAAATACGATTTTTCAGCCAGGACAAGACACGAAAAACAGACTATCAATTCTATTTTTCCAAGGCTCCTTGATGAAAAATTAGTGTTTTTAACACAGCCAAAGCACTCTAGATTGAAATTTAAAATACGATTTCTTTTTAAGCAAAAATGTCAAAAGTTGACATGATATGTCATTCTATTCAGAGTGTCATTTTTTATCGAATAAAGTAGAATTTTTTTTACCAAGGGTACCATTTAAAAATCAAAAGTTGTAGTCATTTTCAGTGAAACAGGACGTGACCAAAAACAATTAAATACGGCAATCAATGCTAACTTGACTAACTGACATACCGAATCTCGTTTTCTTTATCTTAAAAAATAAAAAAGTTATATAGGGGTCAGCCACTTTTGAGACGCACCCGGTATAGGTATTTATATACAGGGTGTCATTGAAATGGTGTAAAAAAAATCGGGGGGTGATAGTACTCCTAAAAATAGTAAAAAAAGTACCGATAAGTATAGGACGGAAAATGCATATTAAGGGAGTTAGGGGCACTGAAAGGGTGAATTGTAGGCTTAAAAAACAAGATAAAATTTCGAAAAAAAATTCTCTGCCATAAATTTTGACCCTAAATCAAATGGTGAGCGGAAAGGGTAGTAGGTAAGTTTGTAAGGGTAGGGGGTTGTTTCGTGAATAACTTTTAGAGGTTATTTTTTTTTGCAACGTGGGTTCATTTTTTGAAAACTACATACTTTTTCCTACAAAAAAGATACTCTTGTTGCACATCGCCTAGAGCGATGGTTTTCAAGAAAATTGAAGACAAAGAGTTCGCTCTGATGGGTTGTGTTGGTAACTGGTTAATCAACATAAACTTATGAAAGTTCTGGCGGTTCAAAAAGTAACCAAGTAGTTATCAAATAATTAATTGAAAAATAAAAATTTCATGATTTCTAAAACATCTTATTGCTTTAAAAACGAAATAATCCAATTACCAGAATTCTTTATTAAAATAATAAATTCCTTAATTCATTCACAGTAAATGTTCAAAGTGACCACCATTCATTTCAACGTAGACATCTGATCTTTTTCTCCACGATCTATGTACCCTGTGGAATATTCTTGGTGTTGTCCGAATTTGATTGGGACAGTCAATAATGCGTTGCCGTAGTTGCTCTTCAGTATTAATCGGCACTGAGTAAACCAATTTTTTTTTAAACCAAAAGAGTTTATTTCGTTTTTAAAGCAATAAGATGTTTTAAAAATCATAAAATTTTGATTTCCAATTAATTATTTAATAACTACTTGGTTACTTCTGAACCGCCATAACCTTCATAAGTTTATGTTGATTAACCAGTCAGTAACCCATCAGAGCAAACACTTTACCTTCAATTTTCTCGAAAACCATCGCCTCTAGGCGATGTTCAACAAGAGTACCTTTTTTGTAGAAAAAAGTATGTAGTTTTCAAAAAACCATGTGAACCCACGTTGCAAAAAAAATAACCTCAAAGAAGTTATTCACGAAACAACCCACTACCCTTGCAAAAACTACCCTTTCCGCTTTTCCAAATAATTTTTCAGTATCACCATTTGATTTAGGGTCAAAATTTATGGCAGAGGATTTTTTTTCGAAATTTCATCTCGTTTTTTAAGCCTACAATTTCAAAACAACCGTTTTTTAAATTCACCCTTTCAGTGCCCCTAGCTCCCTTAATATGCATTTTCCGCCCTATACTTATAGGAACTTTTTTTTATTATTTTTAGGAGTACTATCACCCCCCGATTTTTTGTTACACCATTTCAATGACACCCTGTATGCAACGTGATTTATATGGATTTTTGCCCTGATCTGGTTTTATTTTTACAAAATTATTAATTGAATTTTAATTTAAATATAAAACATCTGATTAAGAAAAATCTGATTAAGAAAAAAAAAACAAGTTTTGACCAGGACGGTTAAAGCCTGGTTAAAAACACTGGTTTAAACCGCTAAAACTTGCCAACTCTGCTTTTCTATAGGAGATAGACGAAAACTAATATCTCTAAATCTGATGCTCAATTTTTATCAGAAACATGATGGTAAAATCCGCACATCAATATCTGTTACCATTTCGAAGTTACAAGGTGTTTTTCAAAAATGTGCATTTTTAACAAATCGCTTTAACTTTTTTGCTATGGAAAATTTTGTATTTTTTGATGAAAATATTTCCAAAGCACTTTTTTACGGAGAATATAATGGTTTGGTTTGGTATAAAAAATATAGACTTATATTTTTTAAATTAATAAATTAGGAGTTATCAACAGAAAATTTGATTTTTTATTTGGAACACATTTTATTATACATATATTTTGCTCGATTCCTCTTCGAGATATAGATTTTTTTAAATACCACTTGAATAAGCCACGCTGAATAAATGCATTAAACAGAGCCGGCCGTAAGGGTACGCTTATGTTGGAGCTGCGATAAACGATAAAAGCAGTGAATTAGCGCTGCTCTGATCGTTGCTCAACTGCCAACCGTGTCTCGACGCGTTGCTCCAGTATAAACACCTACATATAAATTAATATAATAATATTCTTTACTTCGCTACTATCGCTGCTCTTATCGTTTATCGCCGCTCCAACATAAACGCACCCTAATGCAGAAAAATGCTAGCTGTGAGCAGTAATTAAAACGAAAATAATATTTGGCCTATGGGAGATGCAGAATTTTATAACAATTTAGACTGTATTTAACTACAAAAACACACTTAAACTATATCTAATAACAATAATAATAAATAGCAAACCAAGATACGAGATTTTGCTACAGGAGGTGTTCGAAATGTCGACCGTCTTCTGTTATGCACAGATGGGACTGTTTCTGAACATTTCTCACGGAATTCATTAAATCAGTCGAGGTGAAAGATACCCTCGCATAACCGCTAAGTACTTCTATTCATGTTTATTTTTTGCGGGCACAGTTTCAAAACAAGAACCTTAGTCTTCCGCAAAGATAAAAAGCCATAGGCGCTAAGTCCGGCAGCCACGACGGTCAACCGGCTGAGACCTTGGTTAGCTATTCAATTATTTTCGAAACTGGCTGCAAAAAACCGCTGATACCTTCGAGCGTTGTGAGGGGGTGCCTCGTCTTGTTGGAAAAATATGTTTTCCAGTTCCATTAACGACAGATCATCAATGAGGAGCTAAAGCCTACTACTTAAAAGTGACGAACTTTTAAAAATTCTGTATTTCGAAGCGGACTATAACAAAATATCAAGTGTGTTATATTTTTGGAAAGGTAATTTTAAGATCTTTTCAGTTAATTAAAACTATACAGGGTGTCCCAAACAAAAAAAAACAATTTTTCTGTTGATAACTCTAAATTATTAATTTTAGAAAAATTACTTAAATCAATAAATTCCACGTAAAAAGGTGTTTCCGAAATGTTTTTCAAGTATACAAAATTTCCTGTAGCAAAAAAGTTACAGCGATCTGTTAAAAATGCACATTTTTGAAAAACACCCCGTATAACTCCGAAACGGTAACAGATATCGATGTGCGGTTTTTACCACCATGTTTTTGATAAAAAATGAGATCAGATACCGATAGTTTTCGTCACTTATAGAAATTTCCTATAGAAAAGGGTGTTTCCCAAGGGTTTTTTTTGTTTTAATATTTCGGGACATACTTTCTTTTTAAAATATATTTCTTTTACCTGACATTTATACCAAGAGAACCAACTTTATATCATTTATTTTTTTTTCATATCTTTCGATTGCGTATTCGTATTTTATATATTTCGTATTGTACTATTTCTTATTTTTGCTAGACCATAATTTTATTTTCTATTACTAATTTAGAATTGTTGGTCAATATTTAGGCAAAGTTGTTTCAGGCGCCTCTCCTGTCCATGGCCGATATCCTGCGGTTTTCTGGCATGGATCATCCTCCCGACGCCTTAAAGATATTCCTTCAAAAGGCGAAAGAGAGTCAGGACACGCAGAGTGAGATCATTCAGTACCTTCAGGTACGAAATGTAAGAATATCATTTTTTCCACATATAAATTTACATAACATTTAGTTTTAAGGAAAATGTTTAAAACTTATTCAGATTATTAAACAGAGTAGGAAAACGAACAGAGACACATTTTTAATATTTTTCAAATTAAAGATATTATAACAATATATCTAGACAAATATCTGACAAATATCTGCTACTTTTTAAACTGCATCAGATTTATAGAAATAATTTCAATAAATAAAAAAGTTTAAAGATGTTTAGATATAATTTTGTTAGGGATCATCATTGATTCTTAGACAGAACATTTCCTGTTTTCTATTATTATTCTGATTTTATTTGCCCAAAAAGACCATATTACTATACCGGGTGCGTCTCAAAAGTGGCTCACCTCTATAACATTTTTATTTTTGCAGATAAAAAAACGAGATTTGGTATATTAGTATATGACATAAATTAGGATTGATTGACGTATTCAATTCTTTTCGGTCACTTCCTGTTTCACCGGAAATAACTACAATTTTTGATTTTTAAATGGCACCCTCGGTATTTTTTTACTTTATTCGATAGAAAATGACACTCTGAATCGAATGACATATCATATGTCAATTTTTGACGTAGTCACTCAAAAACAAATTCTATTTTAAATTTCAATCTAGAGTTTCATGGCTTTTAAAAACACTAATTTTTAATCAAGGAGCCTTGGAAAAATAGATTTGATCGTCTAATGTTTTTAGTACCTTGTTCTGGCCGGTTAAAAGATGCCCAAATCGTATTTTTAATCATATCTCAATTTTTTCAAATAGAACGAGGGTGGCTCATTAGCATATTTAGAAAAAGCATTTTTTTACGAATAATTTGATACCACACACTTGGTATTTTGAGTTAAATTGTCGTTATGAACCGCATGTTACAATTTCAAATAAACCATATGCCAAAATGTCAAAAGTTGACATATGATATGTCATTCGATTCAGAGTGTAATTTTCTATCGAATAAAGTAAAAAAATTCCCAGGGTGTCATTTAAAAATCAAAAGTTTTAGTCGTTTCCGGTGAAACCGGAAGTGACCGAAAACAATTGAATACGTCAATCAATCCCAATTTATGTCATATACTAACATACCAAATATCGTTGTTTTATTTTAAAAATTAAAAAAGTTATAGGGGTGAGCCACTTTTGAGACGCACCCGGTATAATATATGCATATATTTTGAATGGCTTCACAACCAAATATGGGCTTAAAGAAGTTTTAACAACATATTAATAATCATTCTCGCCTTACTTTTTTTTATTTCAGCCATTTCACATCGTCTTCATTTATATTTCCGCTCAGTCTTTAGTCCTAGTTTATACCGTATGATAAAAAAAACGGCGTCAATGACGGTTGGGGAATGATGATCGATAATAATTTGGCCGAGGCCAATCTTTACACGTCACTTATTAAAAATTGACATAAAACTTCAAAAATTAATACTAATTATAGAGAGGTTCAAAACGGATAGTAGGTTTCCAGAAATGCACATCTATTTCCAAAAAATATATTTTTCTCGAATTTACTATACCAATTAAAAATCATTTTTACTCAATATATAAATAAATTACAATTTTCTTAAGGCCAACTGGCAGTAAGCGCCATTAAAAAATAAATAAGAGTTCAGGCCAAGTAAATGACGTACAGGGCTTGACCTCGCCAAAGTTATGATCGATTGTCATTCCCCAGCTGTTTTTGGCGTCGTTTTTTTTTCGATGGTATGGTAAAATTTAAACTTAATTGATCATCCCAACTTTTTAATAGAGTAGCAATGATAATTGACTGTTTGAAATTTATGTACTTGTACTTTTTAATGTAGGTTTATTTCCAGGCCCTTCTTGCACCTCAGAACTTACTAACCAATCAGAAACAATCGGACGGGACTATGCCCAATCAGATTCCTGAATTTGCGAAAAGACTGAGTGAAGACCACGTCAAAATGCAAAATAACAACGGCGAAGCTGAAAGGCTTACGAGGCCTAGCCCGTCAAACTCAGTTATCACAAAGGTAAATTTCTGAAACTGAATCAGTATATTTTTATTATTGTTTTTTTTTCTTCTTTTTACACTATGTAGATAAAAATGTATAGAGGTAAAAGGTTTTCTAAATTAGATTAGATTAGATTTTTGAGGTGGCCTGATCAGCCTGTTCAATTGCAGCATTTTCAGATCTATTGTGGTCCTATTCTGACCTCTACATTACATCTCCAGTACTATCCTTTTCAAAAGCCTCAAAAGATTTTTTGCTTAAAAAAATATGTTTTGCTAATATTTTGAGGTTCTCCAGATCCAGTGCTTACTGGATTTTTTTTGTGTTTTCTTTGTAAATTTAGTCTACTACCTATGTTGCCATATTATCAAAAAATTATGTTTCTCAACTAAAAAATAAAAAAAAAACAAAAATTTCTTCAAAAACTTTAAAATTTTCTTTTCGCAAAAAGAAACTCATAATCGTGTTTATAATAATCTGGGGTCGAAATATATACTACCCCTAAAAATATTTGCACTTATTTAAGACTCACCTTGTATATAGTTAAACCCTATTTTTACCACTATTATGACATATTTTACAAAATTTTAATCTAACTTTTAAAAAGAAAGGTCATGTTGATACGTACTTGTGAAGAACTGATAACTTACATCACAAGTAGGTTACCTAAGCCCTGTACAGGGTGGGTCAAATTTGACGCTTTTAAATGGAAACACCCTTTTCTATAGGAGATAGACGAAAACTAATATCGGTGTCTGGAGCTCAATTTTTGTCCAAAAAAAATGATGGTGAAAACCGCATATCGATATCTGTTACCGTTTCGGAGTTACGGGGTGTTTTCAAAAATATGCATTTTTAACAAATCGCTGTAACTTTTTTGCTATGGAAAATTTTGTATTTTTATGAAAACATTTCCAAAGCACCTTTTTACGTAGAATTTAATGGTTTAAGTATAATTTTTTTAAAATTAATAATTTATGAATTATCAACAGAAAATTTGATTTTTTATATGGGACACCCTCTATATTTTTAATTTATTGAAAAGAATTTAAAATTGCCTTTCCAAAAATATAACACACTTGATATTTTGCTCGATTCCTCTTCGAGATATAGAGTATATAAAAATTCGCCCGTTTTAAATAAGTAGGCTTTGAACGGCACCGGCTGTAATGCAAAAAAATTATAGCTGTGAGCATTAACTAAAACGAAAATAATATTTGCTATGAGAGATGCAAACTTTTATAACAATTTAAAAGATATTTAACCAATATCAACACACAGATTTTGCTACAGGTGTTCGACATATCGACCGTCTTCTGTTATGGACAGACGGGGCAGTTTTTGAACATTTCTCGCGGAATTCATTAACTCAGTAGGGGTGAAAGATACCCTCTCATAACTGCTAAGTATTTCTAATTCTTGTCTAGATTATACCGAAGAATAAGGAACCTTTATTCTTCCGCAAATATATCCATAGGATTAGATCCATGGGCACTAAGTCAGGGGGCCTCGACGGCCAACGGCTGGGATCTTGGTTAGCTGTTCAATTATTCTTGTAATTGGCTGCAAAAATTGGCTGATAACTTCAGCGTTCAGAGGCGGCGCGCCGTCTTGCTGGAAAAATATGTTTTCGAGTTCCATTACCTACTAGTTAAAAAAAAGGTCCAAAGCCTACTAGTTAAAAGTGGCGAACTTTAAAAAATTCTGTATTTCGAAGGGGATTATAACAAAGTATCAAGTATGCTATATTTTTGGAAAGGTAATTTTAAACACTTTTCAGTTAATTAAAAATATAGAGGGTGTCCCAAATAAAAAATCAATTTTTCTACTGATAACTCTTAAATTGTTAATTTTAAAAAAATTATACTTAAACCATTAAATTCTGCGTAAAAAGTTGCTTTGGATATGTTTTCATAGAAATACAAAATTTTCCATAGCAAGAAAGTTACAGCGATTTGTTGAAAATGCACATTTTTGAAAAACACCCTGTAACTCCGAAACGGTAACAGATATTGATGTGCGGTTTTCACCATCATATTTTTGATGAAAATTGAGCTCCAGACACAGATCGTCTATCTCCTATAGAAAAGGGTGTTTCCATTTAAAAGCGTCAAATTTGACCCACCCTGTACAAAGCATGAGACTATAAGAAGATATGAGAGAATTTTATAGACTCAAGAAATAAAAAAGTTAAAACCTGGGTAAATAAGAGACAAGATATATTTAATGAGAAAGTCTACCCACTGTGCCGCACATTTAACACTTTATACAGGGTGAGTCTTAAATAAGTGCAAACAATTTCAAGGCTGGTAGATCTCGATAAAAGAAACATTTTATCGTTACCATTTTTCACACAAATAAGTCCAACAATTTCCAAACTAACCAAGTTATTTAACTTTGAATATTAAAAAAAATTGTTTTAAAAAAAATGAGAGTTACCGGATGTTTTCTGTATTTGCATCCCTTTTAGTGCCGTAACCATGGTGATATCATGATACCATGGTGATATCAGAGATCAATTATACCGTGAGAAAATTTGCGATGACCCAAGCAGTTCTAATAGTCTTCTAAAATATACAGGAAAATTTAACAGAAAGCGCACGATTTTTTTGTGGTCTAAATGTACCACCGCTGAAAATATTTGCACTTGTATTTAAGACTAACCCTGTATATTGAGAGGTAATACATACAGTTCATACCAAATAAACTTTATGTCACAACATGATTATACGCTTGACCGGTACAGCGTTGCCCACTTTTATATATTTTCTATTAATCGAAATATTTTAGGAAACAAAATAAATTAATTATAATTATATAAAGAGTTATTATTTACATCAATAAAACTCACCTTTTAACAGCACTTAAGAGACATAAAAGGCTATTACTACCGGTTTCCCGTTTAAAATATTCTAATAAAGTTGCGATGAGATTTTTTACGGCTATTAAGCTATCTTGTACACTTTGCACTAAAAGAGGTTCTAAAAAGAACAATGTTGGACTGCAAGATCTGCTAGTAAACATTTTTAAGCGTAAGGTAGCACAACACTATTTATTTAAACCAAAAACTCGTAATACAAAACTAAAGTGTCAAAACGAATAACAATGTCAGGAAATGAATAAATAAATGCGGCAACTTAGCATTTTTTACAGCAGAGCTACCACCTGAATCCCCAGCGTGAAATTTAAATTCCAGTTAGTCAACACGGCGTCGAATGTGTTCATGGTTGGCAACAATGGATTTAAAAATCGCGCTCTCGATTACGTAACTAAAAGTTTAATTGATATCAAATATATTTTGTGTTAATAGAATATAAGAAATGTTTATTTATATGATTTTGTTAATTTGGTATTAACATTTTTTAGGTCGAAAAACCTCGATCGGAGTCATCTGACGTAGACACAGAAGAATCCACCTCGAATGTGATACTAAAAATTCCGTCCTTTAAGCCGACGTCGAGCAAAAACGGCTGCGACATTTTCCGCACCAACTCCCTGGAAAGTTCAAACCGACTGGTGTCGCCCCCCCTCACCACAGCCAGTGAATCCAACTCCCCTCCCATCCTGCCGGGCAAAGGACTGCTCATAAAGGATGTCATCTCACACAGCATAAGCCAAAAGTTCCAGCAGAATTTGGACCATCCGCCGGTACGACGACCGCCGCCCATGTCCATGGACATCGATTTTAAGAGGGGCGGATTTACGCCACCCCTAAGCGGGCTGCCGTCCGTTATAAAAGTTCAGCAAGAGGCCAGTAGATCTTACCAGCAACCGCCATCACATCCACCCCCGCCACACCAGACGAAGCCTCCAGGGCCTGGTGGACAACCAACTGGGGGTAAAGGTGAGTAGACACTTAATTGCATAATTTATTATGTATTATACTATATACAGGGTGCTACAAATTTAAGGTACGAGCATTGGTACCTCAGAAGCCGTAATAGATACGAAGATGGTTAAATTGAGGCAAAGTTGCACCTTGGGATGTTCATCAAGATGCCATCAAAAAAGTTTTAGAATTTTCAAGGTTTGCTGAGTTCTTTGAAAAAAAAAGATTTTTTTGAAAATAAATTTTATTTTTTTCTGTCGTTATTTTTTAGAAGATCGAAAACCTAATTGTACATTCTTATAGCCACTTTATCAGGGCTATCTGATAGTGTTTTTAGATTCCTCATTAGCAATCAAATTTACTAATAGTTTCTAAGATACATATCCCAACTTAGTTTTTAAAATACGGACCTGCATTTTTTATTTCAGGTTCTGAAAGAATTCCGTCTCCCCACTACAACGATATACCACACTTTATTTTTTGTTTTGTTTTGGGTACTTTAACAGCAATAAAACTTGATTGTTATTTATTTACTTTAATTGTTATTTAAAATAATTTCAAATCCGACTCTTGTTTTAAAATTATTTAACCTGATTATATTCATCAGTATAGCAACAATTTTGATGAGCGTTAATTAGCATTGAATAAGGAAAATCGAGCCAGTTAACAAATTCAAATAAATAATATCCAGTTCGGCATTTTAAAGATATCATTTTTAACTCTTTGTATTATGAATTTGAAATCTCAATGTACGATCTAATATTATGCATAATATTAATCGTAATTATTATAAATAAATCAACTTCTACATACTAGTTTCTAATGTTCTATAGGTTCGAAAGGATTACCACCCTCCCTGTTGTACAAATTTATTTTTCGTTTAATTTTATGTATAGCCCTTTTAACAGATATTCTTCTTATACTTCCGAATGCATTTTATACTATTTGTTGTAAATGTTGAGTTGAGATGTATTGATTTCACTTTTACAAATGACGTCAAGTAATGCCCCGCTCCCTTGGCGACAGGTCCAGGAACCTCGCTGGTCATTATACTGCTCCACCATTTCCAGTCCATCTTTCGGGGAAATTATTTGATTGTTTATATTATATTTTATTTATATTACTTATTTTTTATTACTTTATTGTATTTTATTTTTCGTATTCAATATTTTACCGCACGTCATTGTTAAGTTTTAAAGCTCATCATTGTGACGATAAATAGATAAATATAAAAAAAACAGAGCATGACTTGAAATTAGTTTAAATAAATTGTGTTTAAATGCCCGAAACAAAAAAAAATAAATGTAGCATATCATTGTATTCAGGAGACCGAATTTTTTCAAAATCATAAATAAGAACTGCAGATCCGGATTTAAAAAATTAAGTTCGCCTATGTACCTCTCAAATTATCAGCTAATTTGAAAATCCAACAATATTAGCAGGTAGCCGTGATAAAGTGGCTATATGAATGTGCAATTAGTTTTTCGATTTTATAAAAAGTAACGACAGAGAAAAATTAAATTGATTTTCAAAAGAAACCCGGCTTTTCCAAATAACTCAGCAATCCTTGGAATTTTTAAAACTTTTTTTATGACATCTTGGTGAAACTCCCAAGGCGCAACTTTGCCCCAATTTAACTATGTTCGTATCTATTTTGTTTACCGAGATACCAATGCTCGTACCCCGACTTTATATATACAAAGCACCCTGTATAAGTACATAGAAAACATTAAAAACAATTTCCCCATCTATATAAGCCTTAACTGTTAAGAATCAAATTTATGTTCAAATTAATCTTTAGGAAGTAGATAATCTTGAGATTTCCTACAAAAGTCAGTTTTATAGCTTGCAAAAGACTACTAGTGTATGAGTCAAGTTAAACTACAATCTGACGATTTGAAATTGTGCAGATAATATTTCTTTGTTTTGTTTTTTATCTATATGTCGATAGGATATTCTCTGCTTTTTCATCTCATTCATAATAGTTTTATGACTGATTTAGAATATCAAAGGGTTTTTTGTTAGTTTTTAGCTATTAGAGAACTGCTGATCTTTGGCAGTTCATTTGTGCTTTCAGAATTAGATCATTAGATGAAAGTGCTATGCCTATGCCTGTCTGTTTCTGCAGCGGACTATCTACTTCTCCATGATTCAGAGTTTTATTACCTGACAGGCCACACATCTATGTATTCCCAATACTGGTTCTGGACTAAGATAGATTTCCGATGAGCCTTGCCTTGCTGGTTCGTCGGCTATTTTATTGTGGATACCGTTGTGGCCTGATGCATAGAATAAGTTAATTCTGTTACTTTTTGCCAAAATCATAAATTCGGCCAGGCATACCCAGGCAAGTGTAAACTATACCTTTGAGCTTTGTTTTCTGTACTTCTAAGCGCCTTAAATGCTGCCTGACTGAGCATATATAGCTAAGTTCTCCTGAGTAAGCTCTTATTCTTCGAGCCACATCTACATTACGAGTTTCAGCCCCCTAGCTCATATAGGGCCAGGGTTACGACGCTCTAAAATCGTTACCATTTTTGTGACGCTTGGCGACGTTGGCGTGACGCCTCGCGTCAAAACACTTCAAAAATTAATGCTAAAAAATAGTTCTTCTGGCTAATAAACATATAGATTCCGATATGGTATTAAGATTTTAACATTTAATTTCAGGAACTAGACCTAAACGTGGAAAATACAGAAACTATGACCGAGACAGTTTAGTGGAAGCGGTCAGAGCCGTGCAAAGAGGAGAAATGTCAGTTCATAGGGCGGGAAGTTATTATGGAGTTCCTCATTCCACACTCGAATACAAAGTTAAGGAGCGCCATTTGATGAGACCGAGGAAAAGAGATCCAAAACCCAATCCCGTCGACGAGAAAATTGCTAGTTTAAAACAGAACGATCTCAAAATAGCTCAGGTAATGGAAAACGCAATGACTAAAGAATACAAGGACTAATAACACCCGAGATCAAACTGTTACCATACTTCCAAACAGTGCCGTGGCACATATTTTTGCTTGAAGAGATATTTATATTTTTGATAAATGTTTTGACTACGCCTATTGTATGCAGCGATATCATACTAATTAATTACAAAAAAAAGAAACGTATTAAAATGTTAACAAAAGGTATAAAACTAGTATCGACGTATAGCACATAATATCAAGTAGGTACATACATTCTTCCTTTGGTTTAGGTACGCCAGGAACAAGTTGGTTCTCGATAGTTTCAGGTGCGGGCTTTTCCTTTTTCTTTTTTATAATATCAGAAAAATAATTATCGATTTCAAATTAAAAAAAAAACTCTAAAAAGGTGGAGTGGGCTGTTTATTTACCTATGAAACGTAAGTCTTGGCTCTGTCTTATGGCTGCGTCTTTTACACTTGAAAGCTGAACAACTAATCACCATTGTAATAAATTTTATACAAAGTTCACTACACACAAACTATTAAAAATCGCTAAAATTGTCGCTGATGACTCATTCGTTACTTCCAAAAAAATGGCGTCTAATATCACAAATTCTGCTGCAGCCCGTATATGGGCGTTAAATGTCCTTGTATTCTTTAGTCATTGGAAAAACGTAACTTTTAATATTTTATGCTAGTAGAAAACCGCTTTAAAAATTTTTATTATTCAATAACTGAAATACAATAAAAGCCCGGAATATTTACAATTTTATATCAGTTTAAAAATAAACTATGCTCTTTCATTATTTTTTTTAATGTTAAATGAAAAAAACTACCTACAGGCTATTATTACTAGATCGATACTTCTTTGCTATTTGATTTTGATTTTTCAAAATTTAATATGGCTGCAACTAGCCTGTAATTTATTTTAATGGCTTAATAAAAATTTTACTCCAATTGCTTTAAGGATTGTAATTAAATTTAAGTAAAATAAGTCGTAGATTGGATGTTATGACTAATATAATATATATACATGGCTTATATATTTCGGTTAGGTGGGTTTATACTGGGGTAAATCAAAACTTCGTTTTTTGCAAGGGTGGTCCGAACTGTATTCCGGAAACTCCGGCAGCATATTCTGCTGATAAAAATAAATAAAAAAGTTTATATAAATGTATGTCCTAAAATGGCTTAGTTTCGGAGATACAGGGTGTAGAAGATTCATTTTTATTTCGATGTTTTCCAAATAACTTCTGAAGTAACATCAATATTTGGATGAAAATTGGTATCTGGGAGTTTCTTGGTATGACAAATTTGATTTTGAGGGCGCCACCTACATATTTTTTAACTGGTTTGAAGAGTAATAACTTTTCGTCTATACCTGTATAATACTACTGAGTAAAAAATATTTGGAATAGAAATTATCAATACCTGTCATCATTGACATCAAATCATATATTTGAAATGTTTTTGTGCCAAATGTTCAACAGATATTGTTTTATCATCATTATTTGCAGAAAAATTTATCATTAATTTAAAAAGATAAAAATTTCCCAAATTTTTTAGGTATTTCAGTGAAATAACTATCTACTCAACGTGTTTATTTTTCGTCAATAATGACATGTATTTACTATTTCCATTCTAAATATCTTAAGAACGGTTCCTCGTAGCGATTTTTACAAAGACATATTATTTACGTAAAAAATCACAGAGGTGTATATTTCTTTGCTCGGTAGTTTTATACAGGTACGGACAAAAAGTTATTACGCTTCAAAACAGTTAAAACACACTAGGTGGTGCCCTCTACTAGTAGAAGTCATATTGACATCAAAATCAAATTCTCCTGTCAAAAAACTCCCAGACATCAATTTTCATCCAAATATTGACGTTATTTCCGAAATTATTTAGAAAAAAATTAAATAAAAATGAAACTTCAACACCCTGTATCTCTGAAACTATGCATTTTAGGACATACATTTATACGAACTTTTTTACTTATTTTTATCTGCACAATATACTGACGAAGTTTCCGGAATACAGTTCGGACCACCCTGTATATAAATCAATTTCACAATTAAATGTAATAGTTTAAAAATACCCTTAATATGTTTAATACATTTTTTTCAATGATACTAATAGTATTATAAATCACTATACTAGAATCACACGGTATATATCAAAATATTCAATGGTCGAAGTTAACCAAAATACGGCAGTACAAAATTACAAAATATCTATATATTATTCTCCTTCACCATTTTGTCAATAACAAAGAACGTTAGATTCACATTCATTTCTCATTATTTGTATAGTGCGCGCTTATTTTAAATATTTATCAAATATTTTACATAGAATTAGTATTTTTTAATACTTGGTAACAGTCAATGAACTGCATTTTTTATACAATATTAAACAGGTATCGTAACTTAAATAAATTGGGAGTCTAAAAGAAATTTTGTTTTGAACTCTAAATGTAATAATTATTGTTAATTCAATGACATGATACTTTCTAGTTATGTAACAACATTCAGATCATTTATTGTATTGAATAGATAAAAAAAATCAATCGCAAACCAATTATACAGAGTGAGTCTTAAATAAGTGCAAATATTTTTAGGGGTAGCATATTTCGATCCCAGAAACAGGTCTATGAGGTTTTTTAAACATTACAAAAATTTGGAATTTTTTGAAAAACATTTTGGAATTTTGAAATTTTTTTATAGTTCATAGTTAAAAAACACAATTTTTTAATTTAACTCGGTTATTTTGGACTTATACGCAAAACGGTTAAGAGAAAATATGTTTCTTTTATCGAGATCTACGAGGCAAAATAACGGAGTTATTCAAGTTTGAAAATTAAAAAAAAATATTTATTTTTGAATTAATTTGAGGGCCATCGGATTTTTTCTGTATTTGCATCCCTTTTAGTGCCGTAACCATAGAGTAAGCCATAACCATGGTAATATCAGAGATTAAGAAATTATACCGATTTTTTCAACATCTTTTGTTAAGAACAAAACGTGTTCGTGGGGTCGATATACAGGGTGTCCTAGGCTGAGCGTGCATTAGAAGATTCTAGAGAACCACAATATCTATATCAGAGATTTTTTGCACATCATTGTTTTACAACGAGATCGATAGAGGAGGAAAAAAAATGATTTATGATAATTTTTTAATGGCTCAATTCCGTGACATCTGCGGCCATTATTATATGACATTCGAACAATTTCATTTTTGAAATAGGTAGCCACATGTCTTCTCTTTATGGTACAGTGGCTGTGGTAATCACTAAATTTGATTTTTAGGCTATACATATATTTTTGACAGGCAGTTTTTTTTATCCCTACATTTTAAATATTTTTTTTTTCTCAAAAACGGATAATGTTAGATATAGAGTGTTTAATATCAAAAATCATAAAATTTTACAGAGAATTTAAGTATGTATGTCATAAAAATGGGGGCATCCATTTAAAATAAGAAAGTTGTTGTCAACTTCCGGTGTTTCCGGAAGTGCTGCCATATTGTAAATATTTTTAATCGATATATTATCGTTGAAAAACAATGATACGCAAAAAATCTCCGATCTAGATATTGTAGCTCTCTAGAAACTTCTAATTCACGCTCAGCCTGGGACACCCTGTATACCACCCCTAAAAATATTTACACTTATTTAAGACTCAACCTGTATAAACAACCAGAATTCCAAGCATCAGAAATACCAGCATTTAGTATAATACAAATTATTTTTTACAGGAGAAGCTAAAACAAAACGCCATCAAACCCACTCAACAAAAATTCCCTCCCACGTCTCCTAACGGTATCAAACTGCCCATTTTCGAAGCGACAGCCGCCGGGCTTACACCGGCGGCGGCGGCAGCAGCCGGTTTGGGCAGTTACCCCCACCCCTTCTCCTTCTGGCCCCATCCGGGTTTCCCCCCTAATCCCATCGAATATGTAGCAGCCGCCGCGGCTGCCAGAACTCCCGCATCACCTTTTCTTACCACCAATCCAGAAATATTCGCCTCCCAAATGATACAGAAACTCCAGGAGGAGACTTCTAGGACGTTGGGCACGCCGTCGCCTCAGGGAAGTACCGCAGCGTTAGCTAAAAGTACTAGACAGATGGCGGAATCGCTATTAGACGGATCTGGATCAAATGGGTAAGTTTTAATTATATTTCAATTTTTCTCAGATAAATGTAAATATTATCAAAACTTACTGTCATGCAGGTAATAGGGAACGTAGACTAGCTCGGGAACTATTAAATATATAACTTAAGACTTACATAGAGATAAATTGGACAAAATAAATAGCTGGAAATTAATTAAGTTCTAAAGCTGGCCGCTAGAGGGCGTAGACAATTGTCTGTTAATTTCCTTTATTTAAGGATTAATAAAAATTAAGCACTGTATTCTTTAACCAATCACGCACTTTTCTACATCTGAAGTTTTTTTTATCTATTTTAAAAAATAAAGTGGTGGGGGAAGGTCAAATATTTTTACTTTAAAATGTTGATATCTCTGTTTTGAACGGTTTTGAACGACCAATTTTATTTAAATCGTGATTACTCAATGGTCCCATTTTATGAAACACCCTGTATAAATTTTTAAAAAAATCTTAAAATATGTAAAACAGCAAAATAAAATATACGTGTTTAATAGTTTTTCCGAAAATCTCACCGGTTTTTAAATAAAAAAAATTCTAATATTTGAGGGGTTGTATCACCCCCTTAGAATGCGAGTTTCGAAAAATCCCTTCTTATCGAACATCTACACCCAAAATCAATCCGTTTTCGAAAAATCACCTTTTTACGTCAAGCGCTTTAAGCAGGATCGTGATTAATCAATCACCAGATTTTTCGAAACACCCTGTATACATTTTTAAAAAATCTTAAAATATGTAAAAAACAAAATAAAATATACGTGTTTAAGCGTTTTTTCGGAAACGACCGTTTTTTGAATAAAAAGTATTGTAATATTTGAGGGGTGGTTTCACCCCATTGGAACTGGAATTTCGAAAAATCCCTTCTTATCGAACCTCTACACCCTAAAATCAACCTGTATGCCAAAATTGAGCTTCTTACGTTGAGTGGTTTGAGCAGGATCGTGATTAATCAATGAGTCACTTAGGGATTTTATATATTTAAGAATATATAAACAAGGATATTATACAGGGCGTTTCAAAACAAATGCGAAAAACTTCAGGGGGCGATTCCTTGTTCAAAATAAAGGGTAGTTTGCTTTATAAACGTTGGGTCAAAAGTCAACCATTAGGGATATATCGCGGTACAAAGATGGCGGAAAAATAATGTTTTTATTTTTTACCTTGAAAACGAAAAACGATAGACTAATGAAATTTTATGGAAGCATTACTGTTATGAAAACATACTTTCTGGTAATTTTTTCACTTTTTTAAAATGAGTGCAAGGGGTTGAAATAAACTACCCCTATCATTCTTGTTAACGAAATTTAAAAAAAAGCTTATCAAACACATGCAAAAAAAATAATAAAAATTAATTTGGATAGTTTAGTTTGTTTAGAAACTTTTTTATCTCTTATGTTTTTTTGATAAAACTCGCCGATTTGAAATTAAAAAATAAAATGTAAAGCATTACATGTCAGGACAAAAAACATTTTTAAATAGAGAATCTAGTGGGCTGCTCTAATTTTTTTAGGATAAAATCTAGTCGGTCGCTGTCACTTTTTAGGGGATGTTTCTAATATTATTTTATTGACATTACTCTACTGCAATACGTTATTATCTAGATTCTTATTGTTATCGTTATTATCACTAGATTCTTTATCTAAAAATGTGTTTTATCCTGACATGTAATGCTTTACATTTTATTTTTTAATTTCAAATCGGCGAGTTTTGTCAAAGAAACATAAGAGATAAAAAAGTTTCTAAACAAACCAAGCTATCCAAATTAATTTTTTTTGCATGTGTTTGATAAGATTTTTCTTTAAAGATCGTTAACAAGAATGATAGGGGTAGTTTATTTCAACCCCTTCTACTCATTTTAAAAAAGTGAAAAAATTACCAGAAAGTGTGTTTTCATAACAGTAATGCTCCCATAAAATTTCATTAGTCGATCTCTTTTCGTTTTCAAGATAAAAAATAAAAACATTATTTTTCCGCCATCTTTGTACCGCGATATCTCCCTAATGGTTGACTTTTGGCCCAACGTTTATGAAGCAAACTATCCTTTATTTTAAGCAAGGAATCGCCCCCTGAAGTTTTTCGCATTTGTTTTGAAACACCCTGTATAGTATAGATTTAATGGCCCTCAAAGGAAACAGAATTTTTGAAGCAGGTTTACTCAACGGGTAAAAATGTGGAATAAATATAATTGAAAATTAATAACCCCTATTACAACAATATTATTACATTAATTTGCTTATATTAGTAATTTTGAATTCGTATAATATATCCAATAATCATATTGTCATCCTTAAAGATCATGCTTGTCATGGATACTGGGTCTATTATATTTTGTTAGTGAAAATTGACAATATTTGTGTAACTAATATATAAAAATCTATAAAACTGGACTATTCTAATTTCAAAGATCAAGATAATCTATTAAAAAATAGATAAAAAGTCAATATCGAGAGAAATTTAAAAAAAACTTTTTTTTTGAAATTTAATACAACGCTACAATTAGTGTTAAATAATTAGCAAAAATAATATAAATATATTAAACAAAGTGTATTAATTTAAGTCCAAATTAATACTTAATAAATTGTTCTAAACTATTTTCTTGTTACTTAAAACTAAATCCAGTATGACTATTAATCATAACTGAATAGAATACGATTAACAAGTCTTTGCGTAAAACAAATTATATTATTTTATTTTATCAGTACAACATTCCACTTTAATATTTTAATATAGGGAAATTAAAATAACTTTGGTTGCGCATAATAATACGACCACCAGCAAACTCCATAAGACGACGTATGTGTCTGATGATGTGCAACCTATGCGTGCAACGAAAGTTGTTTTAATTTCCCTTTAGACATTTTTATCACTACAACAAAGAAGTACTACTAGTAAAGAGCCGCATTTATAAATAAATTGTAGTATTTTTATCTTATGAAGACTTGCGACTCGTATTCTTCTCGGTTATGACCAATATTTTGATTGGGTTTATTTATTAAAAGAACACGTCGTTTAGCACACTACTTTTTGGCAACATCAGGTCAAATCTGTTCTCACTTTGTTGACTGTTAAATTGGAAGTTAAATTAATTTCCTGTTGTTTAATATTTTCTTATTTTTTACCAATACAGTTGTTTCGTGATTTCGAAGGACCGCCCTTTTGCAAGGGAAATGATCTGCTAAGGAGACACTACTCTAATTTATTCAATTAAATGATAAAAAATATAACAAACAAATTGAGCCCGTTTGGTATGAACAAACATTATTTCACGAGTTTTTGTCCATCTCTATACAGTTACAAAACAACACTGCCGCTGATAGAAAAGCAAACTTTTCACTGCGCTGTCGCTTGGAAATTGCGTGATATTAGACAGATGCGGAGGTACCGAACTGCTCATAATTACAAACAATAGTTTTATAGAAGGGGATATGCGAATAGAAATAATCGAAATGTTCATTTCAACAAAATATTCTAGTACTAAAAATAATCGAAATTAGAGAACCATAATATCGAATTCCAGTGCGTGTCAAATAAAGCAAAGATAATGTGCTTATTAAAATATTATACAAATACGAAATTTTAAAGATTAAATACAAGAATTATTACTGAAAATCTAATATATTAATATGAATAAATATTTAATTATTAATAAAAAAACTGTATTTTCTCTTTTTCAGATCGTTTTTGGACGGAATCATACGATCCAGTCTGGAATCAGGCGTCCAATCATCAGACAGCAAATGTTTAAAGGAAGGGAAAAACATCACTCCTGAGAAAATGTCGAATAGGGCACTACTAGATCAGCTGTGCAGGAATAGTCGGTTGACACCACTAACCAAACCAGACGTTTCGGAAACTAATAGTTCGGAGGACGAGTCTTATAGAAAAGGTTCTAGTCCTCTGAACTTCTCAACAGGTACTTCAATAACAATACATTTCTTCAATAATAGTAATAATATACAGGGTGGCGCCTCTGATACGACGCGGAAGCTCCAAGGACGACAGTTTCTATTGAAATGAAATTTTGTGAGCATATGTAGCCTAACTTAGAACATTTCTTAAAGATAGAGACTTATACAGTGTGTCCCCAAAAAAAGTTACACATTAAAGTTGTGTTTTTTGTAATGGAACACCCTATATATTAATTGATTTTCGGATTCTCGGAGAAAAATAAAGGTGAGTTTCATTAGAAAAGTATATGATTAAAATGCAAGGTTATTGACATATTTAACATTGTCAAAAAATAAAAGAATACTTTTTAAATTTCAATAAAAACTACATAAACTGTAATTTTCCCGGTATAGCCTAATAAGTAGTTAAAATAACTATTGTACTTTAAATCAAATTAAAACTTAACCAAAAAGTTATATAGGGCGAGACAAAATTAATATTGAAAATTGGCCACCTTTAAAAGCAAGTTACTGTTTTACTTTAAATGGAACACCCAGTATATTATTCCGATATTCAGTCGGAAATTCAGGTCTCTACAAAATACCACTAAGGTTTCCAACCAAACAAAGATTTTTCTCTCGATTTTTCTAGATATATTTATTTTTATGATATAGTGTCATTAGATTTTTATTATTTGATAAAATCTAGCGGGCTGTGATATGTCTGACACACATTAGTTCAACTTTAACAACTAGTTATCACTTTGTGTCAGTTAAAACAAAAAAAATATCAGAAATTTGCCGAAAATGGAAATTTATCTTACATCAGAGAGAACTGATTCGATTCTATTGGTTCTTCTAGTTGGTGACTGCAGTGTGCATTCAACAATTAATAGAATGTCCAAATGCTCACATATTTATCTAGTCTCGACTTTTTTTATGTGGGTATGTTAAAGATGGTATTTACAAAACTCGACCAACTATTATAGTCAACAACATGAGAGAAATTATTGTGGCTGTTTTTCGAATTTAACACGAAAAGATATTTTGAACAGAGAGTGATTTTGTGCAGTGAACAGGAAAGGAAGCATTTTGAGCATTTGATTTCATCTAACTAATTTTTGTCACATAATTATACGTTTATGTATCTAGTTTTAATTCTGTAATAATTCTTTTAGAAACATTCATAACTTTCGATTTTCTTCCAGCCAACAACCAAGACGATAAACATCGATCGTCGCCACACCCAATAAACAAGAGCAACAACCATCATCACCAGCACCAACCGAACTCGGATGTGCACACCATCGAACTGTCGAACGATTCCAACGAGGACGCTACGACGGAACGGAAGCAGAGTCAGGAAGATGGCACTCCCGAAAGGAAGCATCCTCGTATCTATTTGAAACAAGAACTAGCCAAACCGGAAAATCTCAAGCCGGAAATGCTGGTGCGTTTTCGTGAAATCCTTCCCGAAAGGTAAACTGATTTTTCTACCAACTATCTTAGAAATATAGTTTGTTTAACGATGAACGATCGTTACGTCATATACAGGGTCCGGCAATAGTGCGTCGACCATCTGTAGCTCCTAGAATAAAAGAAACTTGGGAATTTTGTTTAAGTGCATTCCTAAAGTATGTACTGGGATGTATTTCAAGAAAATATTTTATCTTCTACAGGATGGCTCAAAAAAGTGTGAGTGGATCCGTTTAATATTTTTTAAATGGAACACCCTGTATATTATTGCATTTTTGGCTTCCTTTCAGATCACTTTACATAATCCTAAGATCTGAGTAAATATATTTCGATAGTTTCAGAGATATTAATAAATAAATAAAAAAAAATTCAGCCTTTCTAAAGAAATTATTAAAATACAAGAACTGTCCTGAAATAAAAACTATCTTCGGTATTTACCTTAGATGATCTGTACTTACTTTGCTATAAATATCGTAATCTTAAATCGTACAGGGTGTTCAGATTCTACGCCAAACTTTCTAAAATATAAAATATTTTTTCTTGATTTTTTAAATGGAACACCCTGGATATCATTTTTTATTAGATGGAAAATTAAAAATTAAAATTTTTGTATTTAGAGTATTTCAAAATTTTAACGGTTTCGCAGATACTCGCGGTATTATTTCATATGGCTCTTTCAACGGTAAAATACGAAAGAAAAATTAGTGTGGGTGGCTTTGATAAAAATTTACTGTGGAAAAAGCCATATGAAATATAAAACCGCTAATATCTACGAAACCGTTAAAAAAAATTTAAATACTCTAAATACAAAAATGTTCCTGTTTTAATTCTCCAATTAATAAAAAAAATAATATACCATTGTTCCATTTAAAAAAACGAAGAAAAATTATTTTATATTTTAGCAAGTTTGGCGTAGAATTTTGAACATCCTGTGTGATTTAAGATTATGATATTTATAGCAAAGTAAGGTCAGACCATCTAAAGTAAATACCTAATACAGTTTTGACTTTAGGACAGTTCTTGTATTTTTAATATTTTTTTTAAGAATGGCTGAAAAATGCATTTTTTTAATTTATTTATTAATATCTCTGAAACTATCGAAATATATTTACTCACATCTTAGGATTATGTAAAGTGATCTGAAAGTCAGCCAAAAATGCAATAATATACAGGGTGTTCCATTTAAAAAAGATTAATCCCATACACTCACACTTTTTTGAGCCACCCAGTAGAAGTTAAAATATTTTCCTGAAATACATCCTAGTACATACTTTAGGTTTGTACCTAAACAAAATTCCCAATTTTTTTATTCTATGACCTACAGATTCCCGAAGCACTGTTGCCGGTCCCTGTATAGTTCATATCAGGCAGCATTGCCAACTAAAAATAGGTAAAATTTCCTTTTAATCAAAATATTAATTAATTATGAACATTATAAATATATAAACAGTTATTATTTACATAAAAAACTCACCTTCTTAACAGCACTTAAGGGACATAAAGGGTCTACTACCGCTTTCCCTTTGAAAATATTCTAATAAAGTTGCGATGAGTTTTTTACGTCTATTAAGCTATCTTGTACCCGCTTCGCACTAAAAGAGGTTCTAAAAAGAACAATGTTCGACTGCAAGGTCTGCTAGCAAACATTTTTAAGCTTAAAGTATCACACACTATTTATTTAAACTAGTGATGGGAAAAACCGATTAATTTCAATAATCGAGTACTCGAGTTTCAAGCGATTGCAATAACCGAGTGATCGCTCGAGCGAAATATCACTCGTATTTAAAAGTACGGTTTTTTACCCGTCGCTTGTTGTAAGTACTCGTTAACGCCAAGCGCCAAGCAGTAAGTTGCATGCGCAGTGATGAATAGCAAGTAGCAAGCGGCGAGCGTTTCGCTTGATCGCTTGATTTAGTTTTTTTTCAAAGTATTGTCGATGTAGGTCGTAAAATGTTGTTCCTCAGATACGCAACGGATAAATATATATACGGCGTCGTATAAATTTGCTACCTGCAATGTATGTAGAAAGTTCGCTCGGCTTTTTATCGAGTTTGTCACATTAAAATCGGATTTCAATTTGTTTCATTCTAGGATCGCTTGCGTTCGTCGCTTGGTACTTGTCACTTGCATAGCTCGTTCATAATCGAGCGATGTCGGTTATTTCAATAATCGAGTATTCGTGCGAATTTTCGCTCGAGTTATCCCATCACTAATTTAAACCAAAAACTCGTAATACAAAACTAAAGTGTCAAAATTAATGACAATGTCAGGAAATAAATAAATAAATGTGGCCTAATCCCCAGCGGGAAATTTAAATTCCAGTTAGTCAGACCGGCGCCGTCCATGTTTGGCAACAATGAATTTACCAATCACGCCCCCGATTACGTAACTAAAAGTTAAATTGATATCAAATATATTATTGAACTCTCGCTTTCACTTGAAAATCAGATGAAAAAGATTGTTGACATCATTATGGCATTTCGTAAATAGATTGATTCCGATAATTATTATTTATAAATAATACCGTATGATCGAATAAAAACGGCGTCAGCGATGGCTATGAAATGAAAATCGCTGCCATTTTGTATGTAAAATTATATGGAAAATGGCATCGATCTTCATTTCATAGCCATCGCTGACGCCGTTTTTATTCGATCATATGATATTTTCAATGATTAAGTACCTACCTCAATAATTAATTGAGGGTGATCTTATTAGGAAAGATAAAACCTTACAGTTTTCACGAACATTAGCTACTTTTGGTAATGTCAATGAACTTGTTCGTTCAACCTTGTGGCAAGTGAAAAAATGCGTAAACATCTAAAAATAATAAGAAAAAACAGCAAATTGGTCGTCGAAGGAATGACGCTGCTAAAACTGTCATGGCCTCCTTAATTTCTATGACTTAGGGGCGATATACAGTCGTGATGGGCATTAATATTCTTTTTAGTAAGTCGAATCACACGATTCAACTTCTCATATCGAATCGACTCCTACGATTCGTTTATTTGAACGAACCACATGCACAATTTACGTTTCATAAAAATAAGAATCGTAACTGGTAACTCAAACCAAACCACTACCGGCGATAATTTTGTCGGATAATTACTTAAAGGGCCAGAAAAAGAAATATACGGTTCTTTCATTTGTTTTTCAACATTTTATGACACTGGCGTAATTGGATTGATTATTTTACCAATAATATTAAATTATCAATCCAATTCATAAATACATACTATTTATTAAAGACTTCTTAATACCAATTTAATATTTTTGGAGCCATATTTTAATTCCGATTTAATAATCATAATAAATAGTATATAATACCGCATGATCGCAAAAAAAACATTGGAGTTGCATAAAAACACGATTTCCTCTGTCTTTTAGTCCAACATTTAATGGTTTATAGTGTTAATACCGTATGATCGAGAAAAAACGGCGTCAAGTTGGCTGGGAAATGAAGATCGCTGTCATTTTATATGTAAATTTATATGGGAAATGTCATCGATCGTCATTTCCCAGCCAACTGGACGCCATTTTTTTTCGATCATACGGTATTATTTTAACAGAAATATTAACGTGAAAATTAAATACCTTACAGATACTCCCGTACTAAGCACAGTATAAATAAGTTTTTTTTCTTGTAAATAACTTTCTTATAGTTTGCATTTTATGCCCATGATATTTGTTAAGGGCTTTTGTTAAGTCTAAATATTGGTGCCTGACTCTATGCCTATATCTCCGCAGCGCCGCGCCGTAGAAACGAACGATAGCATTTTGATCCGATTCAATTCTCACGATTCCTTTTTACGGCTCATCGTTCAAATCTTATGGAGCTGGCCACGATTCAATTAATTGAACGAACCGTATTGCAAGCAATGAACCAATTCTCACAACTCTTTTTACGGCTCATTGTTCATATGTTATGGATCCGTGCTGGCCACGATTCAATTAATTGAACGAACCGTATTGCAAGCAATGAACCAATTCTCACGACTCTTTTTAACGGCTCATTGTTCATATGTTATGGATCCGTGCTGACTACGATTCAATTGAACGAACCGTATTCTAAGGCAGTGAATCGAATCTCACGATTCATTTTTAATACTCGTTCAAATGAACGAGTAGTTCAATCTTTGCGCACCTCGAATATACAGTGTCACAGATAAAGTCTACATCATATTGGATTTTTATTTATCTATTGATTTAGCTCAAATTTGACTTTGGCGTTAGTGTTTGCCTTAAAATAAATTAAAGGTGACATAATAGAATTTACGCTGTTATTATTGGGTATCTGTCAAATTTGACATTTAAAAGTATCAGTGGCTAAAAACGGTTTGTTGGCCGCATTTTGAACAAAACTATTTGAAAAAGAGAATTTTCAGCCATCTAGATAAAAAATAAAATTTCCTAATTTTTATCCAATAGCAGCCGATTCTCGTCACTTTAAAATAATTGATAATAGTTCGTTTGATAGTCAAATATTTATCTATTGGTCCTATATGTTCAATTAAAGTTATTGAATTGTTAATAGTTTTTAAAGGAAACTAAATTTAGTTGTAAAAATAAAAAGGTAATTGTAAAAAAAGTAAAGAGGCAACAAAGCAATGAGATTTTTGAATGTCCGGAGTGCGGTAGGCAGATAACATCACGTATCGGGCTTTTCAGTCACAGAAAAGCTCATGAAAGAAAACGCCTTGCGTGACCATCTTCTGATGCGTGTCAAATACTCGTCAGCGAGTAATGGCAGTATGTATGTATGTATGTCACCATTGTCATCCGTATATTTTTTTAGTGAAAATATACAATATTTGTAACTAATAACTGATAAATCTACATATAAAACTAGACTATTCTAATCAAATAAAAATATAGATTAAAAACAATATAGAGAAATTAGATTTTGAAATTTAATCCAGTGCAACAATTAGTATTATAAAAGAATTAGGAAAAAAATATACCGTTATAATATTCTACAACGTGTAATTAATTTAAGTTCAAATTAATAATTAGTAAAGTGGTCTGAAGTATTTTCACGTTACCTATAAAACTAGTCCCAGTCTGGATAAATTTCTTCGACCAATTTGAGGTTTTTTCTTATTATTTCTAGATGTTTACCCATTTTTTCACTTGCCACAAGGTTGAACGATCAGGTACGGTAGTTGCAGATATCTGTTCTGTGACTTGTGCGTTGAAGTTCTTCTCAATATCGTTGAACTGACCCACAATAGAATTTCCAAAAATACCAGCCCACACGTCCAATTTCTGAGGGTTTTGTGTGTGCACCGCGTGAAAAACCCTGGGGTTGTCCTCAGCCCAGTACCGACAGTTCTGCCGATTCTTACAGTGCCATACTCTATATAGAGCGTCGGCTACCTCTCGCATGTGCCGATTAACTGTTCAAAAAGAAAGTACATTCATCCGAAAAACACACATTAAATAGGAAATTATTATCATTCGCCACTCGTTCACTCATAGTTTCACTGCAATTTTGTGAAACTGCCAATCAACCAACGTCTTCGTTGAGTTCTTGTACCAACTGAATTTTGTACGTGTGGAACTTGTGCTTTTTTAATATCCTTTGGACACTTGTACGATTCACGCCGGTCTCATTAGCTAAGTTTCTTGTACTCAGCGTACTATCCATGGCAACTTGGCCCAATACCAATACCTCCGTAGCTTCATTTACTACAGGATTTTCCCTCTGCCTCTTTTTATTCAAAACGGAACCAGTTTCGCGAAATTTTGCTTCTAACTCGCGAACAATTTTGTCATAATGGTGTTGGTCAGGATGGCGTTCATTGAATATCTGCGCAACCCGATTGCCATATTCATTATTTTTAAAATAAAGTTCGATTATTTCTACTTTTTCTGCAAGTGAGTACACCATAATTGTTAAAAAGATTAACGATATTGAGAAGAACTTCAACGCATAAGTCACAGAACAGCTTTCTAGCAACTACTGCACTTGTTCGTTCAACCTTGGGGCAAGTGAAAAAATGCGTAAACATCTAGAAATAATAAGAAAAAACAGCAAATTGGGCGTCGAAGGAATTTATCTTTATCATTTACTCTGATAAAATGTTTAAATAAACTTTTCAAATTTCAGTCCTTCATATTTCCTCAATGACTCGACCGATTTTCAAAAACTAAGCCGAAAAGTATAGAGAATAGAAAGCCCTTTTCATTGCGGTACCACTTGACCCCCCCTTCCCATTTAAAAAAAAATGGGGGATGACACCCCTGCTTAGAGAGTTGAAGATTTTACACCAAACCAAACCAAACCAAATCATTTTTTGGGGCAAAAGATGTCCCCTCACAAACAAAATTGACGTGTATTTGAATTTTCTGAAAAAAAATTACCCTGGCAGTTATGCCTTGCGGAACGTTTTCGATGGGCCACCCTGTATAAACAAATACCATAAGTGTATTAATTACAATAAGTGTATAAATTTTCAGCCATCTAGATAAAAAATAAAATTTAGTAATTTATCCAATAGCAGCCGACACAGAAAAAATAATTGATAATAGTCCGTTTGATAGTAATATATTTATCTAGTGGTCATACTAAGGGCTGGCAAAGGTTAGTCTTGGGTCGAGATTTCCGTATGGAAGAAGAGTACAATGCGTTTATAATGTACTGAACAAAGAGAGAACACTAAACACGTTGCACCAAACCAAACCAAACGTATGAAATAATCGAGAAACTGTGCACATAGCTAAGAGACGTGGAAGGGGATATAGCAGATTTGTCGCAGTTGACCAGTCGACCCAATCAGTACCTCTTACCTCTGTCAGTACTTAAAGTTCTAGGGAAAGGTGTACATCATGCGTTCAGCTTCACGATTTAATTACGTCTCGTGATACTTTATTTGTTTATTTATTAACGAGTCGTTGTAATTTTTTCTATAGCTTCAAAAACTTTAAGCGCAAGCTAGAAACACTTGCATTTTTGGTAAAAATAAGTGGAATTGAGTTGGTTTTCGACAGTGGTCGGGCTATTAGAACTCTGAATTGAAAAATCGATATCTCGAAATCTATTAGAAATAATTGATTGTAGTTTTTTCAAAAACTTTCTTAATATTTCTGCTGTATTTTCTTCGTAGACAGTAAGTGAAAATCTTTATCAATAAAAAATACACGATTGCTGAAAATTTCTATGCTCTAAAAGTAAATGGATGGGTTGTTTACAATTTTTGAATGAAAAAAAAACAACCTTATTGAATTTTTCTTATGTAAACACATTGTAAAAGATTCTATCAAAATAAAAAAAAGTTTCAATATCTAAAGTGTTTCTTGAGTTATGGCGTGTTATGTGTTAAAAAGTTGAGTTTTTAAGTTATCGCGATTACTGACGTTTTCTGGTTATACACCTTAAAAATGACACCTTAAAGAGAAACATTTCTAATGATTTTATCTAGTTATCTTTTCGGAAAAAAGTCTTAAAAATAAGCGGTTTGCGATCGTGATTTTACTTTACTTGATAATAGGGAAAGGCGTACCGGCAACGCCGCAACAGCACTTCGTCGCATTTCTCTCACTCCGACTTAAGATCCCTATGTGATTTACTTCCACACATGTAAATACCGACCCAAGAGTAACAGTTGCCAGCACGGTATATGTTCAATTAAAGTTATTGAATTTGTTAATAGTTTTTAGAGGAAACTAAATTTAGTTGTAAAAATGAGAGAAAATGTGATGCAAAATATGAATAATTGATTTGCTTCCCTATAATAATTGAGTGACATTGAAGCCAAATTTCACCAATTTTCTTTCTTAAAACCTAACCAAGTCAATAAATAAAAAAGTTCCATATTATGATGCGGATTTTATCTTGCGACACGGTAGAATATGTTCACGCTACTGCAAAATTTTAGTCTAAAATTTTTAGTGTGAAAATTCAATCAAATTCAAATCTACAGTAGTTCCTGGCTTATTAAACTTTAAAATAAACATTCTCATTTTGTTATAGAAACGGTGGAGGATTGGCTACGGAGTGTACGGCGAGAAGCAGTGCCTCAGATAACGACGCACCACAAGACTGACATCTAGCTTTTCTAATGGAGAGAAATTTTTATTAAAAGAAATTTTTTAAACGTCGCTCGAAATTGCGGCTCCATCGCCAGCGAGGACGAGCGAAAGCCTGGTTGTAAGTTCAACATTAAAAATAACCTCGAAATGACGTGTTTGTTGATATTCATTGTTTCTTTTTCTTTACGTTCATTAATTCCATGTAGAATAGGTAGTCGAAGAGCATCAAAGCAGACTTTTATTATTATTAGGTGTTTCGACTATAAAAATTATATATACTCTTTAAATTCTATCATTGGCCGTAAACAATTTGACAGATAGTTTTTTTACAATTGACTGATTTAGAAGTTTATTAAAAAATTGTAAGGCACTGTAATATACGCATCTAACATGTTCGACAAGTTATGTTTTGAAAACAGTTTTTATAAATCTATACAAACCTATACATATACAGGGTGCTACAAATTCGAGGTACAAGCATTGGTATCTCGGAAACCGTAATAGATACGAAGATGGTTAAATTGGGGCAAAGTTGCACCTTGGGATGTTTACCAAGAGGCCATCAAAAAAGTTTTAAAAATTTCAAGGATTGCTGAGTTTTTTGGAAAAAACGGATTAATCGATTTTATTTTTTCCTGTCGTTACTTTTTAGAAAATCAAAAAACTAATTTAATATTCTCATAACCACTTTATTAGGGCTATCTGATAGTATTTTTAGATTTTCAAATTAGCTGATAATTTATGAGATACAGAGGCCAACTTATTTTTTTTTAAATACGGACCTGTATTTTTTATTTCAGGTTTTGAAAGAACTCGGTCTCCTGGGTACAATGGTATGTCACACTTTATACTTTTTTTTTTGTTTTGGGTGCCTTAACAACAACAAAACTATTTAATTATTATTTAAAATAATTTCAAGTCCGACCCCCGAGTTTTTTTTAATTATTTAATCTGATTATATTCATCACAACTATACTGATTAGCGCTAATTAACATTGAACAGGGAAAATTGAGTAAATTGAAAGATTCAAATAAATAATATCCAGATCAGCAGATTTAAAGATATTATTTTAACTTTTTTTTATTGTGAATTTGAAATCTTAATGTACGATCTTTGCATAATATTTGCAATCGTAGTTATTATGAGTAAATGAACTTCTGCAAACTAGTTTCTAATGCTCTACATAGTCTCTACATAATCTACATAGTAAATGTTCGAAAAGGTTACGACCCTCCCTATTGCACAAATTTATTTTTCATTCAATTTTATTTATAGCTCTTTGAACACATCTTCTTATACTTCCGAATGCATTTTGTACTCTTTATTGTAAAGGCTGAGATGTGTTGATTTCACTTTCACAAATGACGTCAAGTAATGCAACAGGTTCGGGAACATCGCTGGCCTTTATACTCCGTATAAAGAATACAAAAATAAATAATAGGTCCGTACCTAAAAAAAATTAAGTTGGCCTCTGTATCTCACAAATTATCAGCTAATTTGAAAATCGAAAATATTATCAGATAGCCCTAATAAATTGGCTATGAGAATGTGCAATTAGTTTTTTGATACTCTAAAAAGTAACGACAGGAAAAAATAAAATTGATTTTCAAAAAAATCCAGTTTTTCCAAAAAACTCAGCAATCCTTGAAATTTTTAAAACTTTTTTGATGGCAACTTGGTGAATAGCCCAAGGCGCAACTTTGCACCAAATTTAACCATGTTCGTATCTATTACGATTTCCGAGATACCAATGCTCGTACCGCGAATTTGTAGCACCCTGTATAAATATTCAAATTTTCTATAAGAATTACAAAAAATGTTAACTCTCTTCTTTTTTCTAACTAATTATTTTATCATTAAAGACAACAAATACATTTCAAAAAATGATTCTTAAATATAAAAATACATCGCTAAATTTTGAAAAAAAATCGTGTACACTGGTTTAGCTTTTTAATTAATACAAAATTATTTACATCACTTTTTGACACACTTGAACAATGTATAACTGCGCATATTACTTACTGCCTATGTTATTTTTGTAATGTTTATAACAAATCTGTTAAATTGCTTATGGGATAGTAAATATTTAATCGTTCAATGTATTTGGCATGTAAAAATCTATTATAATTAAATGTATTTTCTATGTGTCTTACGTGTCGCGTATACCTCAAAATGTATAAAAATTCACCTTTTCATGTTCGCATAATGTAAAACGTTCGGGCTGCTTTGATGACAAAAACAAGATGGTAAGAAAAATGCTGATATGTGTATATCGAACACCTTTTTGGGAACATTCCCACAATTGAATGAAAAATTATATCTATCTGTGATTTAATCAAAATTTTTGATGTATATTTTCTCTAAAAATATCTTAAATATTATTATATAAATTTAAAACAACTAGCAGTAGTTAATTGATATAAAAAAAAATATTTGAATTTATGTGCTGGAAAGCTGACAGTCTACACATCATTTTGGATTGCCTATCAGTTTTCCTAGTGATATATTTTTGTTTTGTTGATTATTTTGTTTATTTTTTTCATATAACAAAGAAGTGCAATTAGATGGTATATACATAATACATATATATTTACATCAATATTAATTAGTATATAAGATATATTAAAGTATATTATATATTTGAAAATGGAAGCTATTTTGTTCGAGAGATAAAAGATTGACTCCAGGTAGAGTTTAAAACAAAATAAAATGCTTTATATCCCCCCTTCAACAACCGTCAGCAAATTACAACCAACCATAAACCAAACCGATACCGACAGTTAAAATGGGATAGTCATTTTTAATTTTTCTAACATTTTTTTTAATTGAAATTTGATGGGTCTTCAAAACAATGTTTATTTCATTTCAAATTTGAATCCATAAGCGAATGCAACAAGTGAAATCGCTATAATTGTAGTGTAAGTTTTGCAGAAAACTGCTACATTTAATGGTCCTTCGAGTCGGACTAAAATTCTAGACAGTAAATACGACAACTCTTACAACACGTTAACGATAACGGATACTTAAATGCATAAAATATAATTTTACAGATTATTTTAACATCGCACTTATAAGTAATTTTTTGTGATATTTTTAAAAAGCCGCATTTTTTCTACACTAATTTTATATTCTCTTCCTTCTATTATAACCGATACATAATTCTGTAGATATTTTACCTTATAACTCTCTAATTTTTCTTTCCGACAAGTTGATACAACTTTTATATTACATACTACTATTCCTCGTTATAATCACATTATTCTTTTTTAATACTCAAAAAAAGGTAAACCAGAATATTTAAATTTTTGATTTTTAGTTGTTATGCTAGTTCAGATCATGTTGTTTTACTTTATTCATTTTATAGATAGTTTCATATCTATAATATTTCTATCTAAAAATATAATCAACAAAAATTAAAAAAAGATATGAAAATTTCATTTTTAAAATTTAGTAAAAATATTTAGAATCAAAATAAAATATGAATATTCAGGACTAAGTAAACTTTTCTATTTAATCATACATATATGTATACCGGGTGCGTCTCAAAAGTGGCTCAGCCCCTATAAGTCTTTTATTTTTTCAGATAAAAAAACGAGATTTGGTATATTAGTATATGACATAAATTAGAATTGTTTGACGCATTCATTTATTGTTTCTGGTCACTTCCTGTTTCACCGAAAATGACTACAACTTTTGATTTTTAAATGTCATCCTCGGTATTCTTTTACTTTATTCGATAGAAAATGACATTCTGAATAGAATGACATATCATATGTCAACTTTTGACATTCTCACTTAATAAAAAATTGTATTTTAAATTTCAATCTAGAGTGCCATGGCTGTGTTAAAAACACTAATTTTTAATCAAGGAGCCTTGGGAAAATAGATTCGATCGTCTAATGTTTATAGTGTCTTGTCCTAGCCAGTTATAACTCAATTTTTTCAAATGGAACGAGGGTGGCTCATTAGCATATTTGGAAAAAGCTCGTAAGCTTCGTAAATTTTTTTACGAATCGTTTGATATCACACACTTGGTATTTCATGTCAAATTTTCGTTACGAAATGAATAATTTCAAATAAATCATATGCGAAAATGTCAAAAGCTGACATATGATGTGTCATTCTATTCAGAGCGACATTTTCTATCGAATAAAGTAAAAAAATACCGGGGGTTCCATTTAAGAATCAAAATTTGTAGTCATTTCCGGTGATTTTAACCAAAAAAATAAAAAAGTTATAGGGGTGAGCCACTTTTGAGACGCACCCGGTATAATTAAATACTTTATTTTATTTTATTACTTTTTAAGCAGGACAACCTCTATCATAACAATAATAAATAATATGTAAGTAGATATAAAATAGGGTCAGCATTTTTTAATGCTTATACTGGTTCAAAAATCAAGCAAAATGTTATTATGACGATGTTAAATTTATGTTAAATTGGATTATATTAATTGGAACTTTTTAAAAAATATCAAAATAATATACCTAGGAAATATTTAGTTACTGTTAAATGATTTTTTGAAGTATTAATAGATTTTAAAACATTAAAACAAGTCAAAATATATTTTTCTTTATTAAGGAATTTTTTAGTGACAAAAAATAAGCTATATAAATCAAAAACATCTTCATATTTATGTCAAATATTTTTTTAATAAACTTAAACAAATGAAATAATTACATGCAATTAATTTGACAACTTTGACCAATCAAGTCATTATCAATTACTTTGACTAAAACGCTTGCCGAAATCTGTTAGAAAAATTAACGATGACACCCTCCAAATCAAACCAGATTTACAGATTATACTAACACATATTTAAGTTGGACCAAATACCGCAGTATGTTGTATATATATAAAAAATGGGTATGCTTTTCATACATATCTTTTGACGTGTTAACTTGGTCGCCGAAAAGTCGAAACAACTGTGAGTAGCTTGTAGCAGACTTGAGAATCAAAATACAGTCTTGAGGCGACCAAGTCAACAGAGCCAAACAAAAACATTCCAACCATATATGTGCCAGATTTTTTATTCACATGATTAGCATTGAGATAAATTAATGATTTATTAAGAAATACTAAATAAATAAATAAATGATACACGTTTGTCGTTGTTTTGGTCACGACAAACCGCATTTTTTTTCTCTAAATATAAAATGCAAGTATTTCATTAAGTTTTGAAGCCCGATAGGCTTGCTCGTTCGTAGACTTAGGATTTTACAAAATATGAGAAAAAAGGAAAATGAGCGCTCTTTTAAATGTTTGTGTGTGTTCACTTTTTCGCTTGCAGTGCAAATTGTCGTCTTTCGAAAATTTAATAAGATTATTGACCTTCGTGGCTTTAATTATTTATATTTTAACGCCATTTGTATCGTCCTTTTACATATTATTACCCTGTTAAGATATTTTTATATTACCTATATGATTATTAGTAATAATTGTAGATATATCCAAAAAAGAGTAAAAATATATGAATTGAAATTTT